ACCTCGGCCTCTGGACTCACAGTCCTGGGATCTGTATCTTCTCTCTGGTGAAAGCCTTGCCCCTCACGAAAGGGACATATTCGTCCGTTCATTTATTCACTCAGAGATTCAGCAAGTATTTATGGATCTGTGACGGGTAGATAAGGTCTGCCTCCATAGGCAGCTCCAGTCCAGGGCCGAAGACAGGGCCCACATCAGCAGCTGTGACTCAGTGTGGAGAGTGCGCAGGGAGAGCGAGGGAGAGAAGGCTATGGCACATGGAGGGGAAGTTCTGGCTGGTTCTCGGGGTTGGGGATGGGGGAGAGGAAAAGGCACCTGGGTGATCTGGAGAGGCAACACAGCCTGGCAGTGACCAGAGGTGGCCCTGGGCCGCTGCCTGTGCGTGAACCCAGGCTCTGCACTCACCCCCGATGACCTGGGGCAAGGTGCGACTCTCCTCGTGCCTCAGTTTCCCTCTCTGGAAAGTGGGGAAACTAAGAGTATTTATCTCCAGGGGTTATTGCAGGGGTTCAGTGAGTTCATACATTTACAGCACTTTAAAAGTGTACCAGACTAGAGCAAGCCCGGATGCTGGCTGTTCTTATTCTTGACAAAAAGCGGGATGCGAATAGGACGTTTCGGTGGTGACTGAAGGTCCGGAATGTTGGCACAGTTGTCAAAGAGAGATGGTGGTGTTGACTGGGGCTCCTCGGAGGGGAGCAGGTGGGTTCGGGGGGAAGTGCCAGGTCCCAGTGGAGGCAGGGGGCAGGAAGGCAGTGGAGGAGAAGCATTTCTGGAGGCTGGATGTCCCCTTCACGGCTTTGTCTAAGCTGAGAGGTAAGCATCCCTCAGCTGAACCAACGGGGGATGCCCGCAGGATCTGGGGCTCGTGGACAACGATGATTCCGGGCATGGCCCTTGCTCTGAAGGCGCTTCCTTCCTGAGGTGGAGACAGACGTGCCCACAGAGCTGTGCCCTGGGGCGGGCTGCCTGGAGCCCTGGGGGACCAGGAGGGAGGGCAGCAGCCTGGGAGTCTTAGGCCGGGAATCTGGGAAGGTCCATACGCATCGTCCATTGTAATTGTCCTGGGGCAGGGGTTTCGCAAGAGACAGTCCCGTAGCCTCGAGTCAGCCCAGCTGAGCCCACCTCCACGCCTCAGGGCATGGCGCTCGGCACCCGGAGGCGCAGAGGTCTCGGATCTCCTCCTGCAGGATGGTGAAGGCCAGCCAAGGGAGAGTGTTTTCTTCTCAGGGCTCGTATTTCTCTCTTCTCCCAAGGAGACTTTGGTTTTTAAAATTAGGCAAAAACTCCGAGCCTGGGCCACTCACTCCGTCCGCCTGGCGCAGAGCCAGCGGAAGCGTGCAGTCGGAAGCCCGTGGGCCGGCGGCACGGGCCCGGGCAGGTGGGCGGGAGCCGGGCCGGAGCCCAGCGCCTGTGACTTGTTACGGTTGCCCGGCGGACACTGTTTTTCTGCCCTCTGGGAAGAAGGATGGGGATCCTCCGCCTTCGCCACTCCTGCCTCCTCCGGGAGAATTTCCTGCTTGTTCCAGGGCCGGACTGACAGCCCAGGAGACTGAGGCCTTCTGTCCGCACCGGGCGGGTCGGCCGCGGCCAGGTGGGCGGCCTGGAGCCTGCCTCTGCAGAGCGGCGAGGCCACCCCTGAGAGGGCCCGCGGTGGTCTGAGGCCCGAGGACGGCTTCCTTTGTCCTGTTGTTTCCTGTTGGGTTTGGAGTGGGCTTTTCTGGGGGGCGGGTGGGGAGCAGCAGGTTATGTCTGTCTGCTCCCAGTTGCTGTCCTTTCTTCCATGAAGAATATACTGAGGAAGGAAGGGGAGAGTGTGCGACCTGACAGGGCTCATGGCAGGGGACCAGAGTTTGTTTGAATACATAAGGTAATTTTTTAAATTTTTGTTTATTTTTGTCATTTTTATTGAGGTATAATTAATGTAGATGAATTTTAAGTACTCGGTCCTGTCTGTGTTAACAGTTGTGTCCACTTGTGAAAGGACTACCTGAAGCAAATGCTGGAACATTTTCATCATTCCAGAAAGGTCTGTGGTGCCTCTTTCCAGTCAATCCTATCCCCCATCCCAACCCCCATCTTCCCGCCCAGAGGCGATCACTCTCTGACTTCTGTTGCCATAGATCATACACAGTGCCATTTAAAAAATATTTATTTATTTTATTTTTTAATGAGGTTTTATTTTTTTTTGGTGAGGAAGATTGTCCCTGAGCTAACATCTGTGCCAATCTTTCCTCTATTTTGTATGTGGGATGGTGCTGCAGCATGGGTTAATGAGCAGTGTGTATGTCCATGACCAGGATCTGAACCTGCGAACCCTGGGCCATGGAAGGGGAGCACATGAACTTAACCACTATGCCACCAGGCCAGCAGCACAGGGCCATGTTTAAAAGCATGTATTCATTGTAATCTGTGTAAATCCAAGAAGGGTTACACTTTATTCAGGACTGTGCTTTTAAAAATTAAGAGGCTGGAGTTAGGAGCAGCTTTTCTCCTCACCTTGAGCGAATCCTTGGACGTGCTGGGCCTTGATGACCTCATCTCTAGAATGAGTGTAATAATAGTAATTCCTACCACGTGGCAGAAAATGGGAATAGTACTAGCGCACGTTGATTGTCCACTGTTGGCCAGGCACTCTTCTAACCACTCTACTTCGTTATCTTATTTAATCCTTGCAAGAACGCCCTGAGAGAAGACTGTTTTTCCTGTTTTACGCATGACAAAACTGAAGCTCAGAGAGGTGAAGTAACTTGCCTAAGACCACAGAGCTCTCAGTCGTGATTCAAAGTTAGGAGCCTCTGTGTCTAGGGCTTTAACCTAGAGCAGATGGAGGGGTAAAGGACTCTTGTTAACGTATATATGTTATATATGATATTTATGTGATATAACATCGTATATCACATATCGTCATACGTGATATAACAGCCAGCAGAAGTTATTGTTCTTTTAAAGGTAGCACCTATTGGTCAGGGAGTGTTGTCTTCCTTTTTTGTTTTTCATTACCTTTTAAATATTTACGTAGAAAAATTCTGTAACTCCTGAGAATACTTGACATCAGTGGATATCTGCAAATTAGAACATTAGATTAAGATTAAGATGGTGCTAACAACAGGAAATATGAAAAGAAACCTACTAGTTTCTTTCCCATAGAAAAATATTGAGATGCAGCTATAATAATATACTTATTATTTTTTAACATATAATTATGAATGATAAAACAGTAATTATTAACTGAGGATATAATTGTTAATAGTGTAATTTTAATTTTCATAGCTACCATTTGAGTGCCTACTATGTGCCAAGCATATGCTCAGCATTTGACATATACTATTTCTGATCCTCACTATAATTCTGCAGAATAGGCATTGTATTAGTTATTCATTGCTGTGTAACAAATAACCCCCAAATTTAGCAGTTTCAAACAGCACACATTTACTATCTCTCCTGTTTTCTGAGGATCAGGCATTTGTGAGAGGCTCTGCTTAGTGGTTCATGAGATTGCATTCAAGCTGTTGGCTGGGTCTGCAGCCCCTGAGGGCTTGACTAGGGCTGGAAGTTCTGCTTCCAGGCTCACTTGTTGACACATGAGCATCTCCATAGGGCTGCTCACAACACAGCCTCCCCAGAATGCGTGGTGAGAGGATGCCCACGGGGGGAGTCACAGTCTTCTGGAACCTCCTCTCAGAGGTGAGATGCCATCACTTTTGCGCTCTGCTATTGGTCACAGAGATTGACCCTGGGAAAAATGGGAAAATGTGGGAGGGGACACACAAGGGTGTGAACGCCAGGAGCGGGTGATCATGGGGGTCATCTTGGAGACTGTCTACCATGGGCATTATTAGCGTCATCTTACGGATGGGAAATGGATGCCCAGAGAGTTCAGCGAATTCCCAAGGTTGTGTGTCCAGGAGGTGAGTGAGCTGGGACTTGAACACTGAGCTGGTTGACAGCACTGCCTGCATGCTTTCCAGAATGCCCGATGCGGGGAAGCCTGAGAGAAGAGTGAAGCACGTGCAGACCTGGCCTCACGTGGCAGCGTGTCCTGAGGGTGCCATATTGCTGTCTGCTCGTAGGACCTCCCTACCTTTGTATACCTGTATGTCCCCGAGGCGCTGGGCATAAACCACATTTGACTAATTCAGTTTTGTTTAAAATGTATTATGGGAGTTCAGTATTTAAAAGACTTCTGCTTACATCTTCCTCTGTCTCTCTGTTGGTAATTTGTAATCAGATTTAAAATAAATGTTCAGATCCTGGAGCACACGATAGTATTCTGTTGTGTGTGAATGAAACTAACCTGAGGGGGAGATTTTGCTTTTGTCTTGTAGGGTAAGTGGGTTATTAAATCCCATTTAAAAATATGCTGAGATCCACAGAGGACACTGACAAACCACGTGAAAGTCTCGTCGTGTTTAGGATTCTGGGGCTTGGTGTAGAGACGGTGTTTCCTCGGACCAGCCCAAGCCACCCTGGCTTACCACATCCAGAGAAGGACATTTTTATAGTTGCCCCCACTGCAAGAGGACCTGACCACTGAGATAAATCTCCCTGTCATGACCTACTTAAGGGAATTTCATTTTAGGGAAAGAATTCAGCAAGATTACATGGTCTCTAGCTGGCCCATTAAAAACGTGAACGTTTACCTACTTTTAAATGTCCATACCAAGCAAGCAGTAGAAGTTACGAGGACTTCTCAAGTGCCTTTTCTTTGGAGATCTTGGAATATTTTACAGAAATAGGAAAATGTCACCTTCCTAGTCCTGTTCATCAATTCCTGCTTTCTATTATGAATTTACCAGTTTGTCCTATTCATGTTAAGGGAACTCTTTATTCATTCCACTCACGCATTCCTTCAACATTTACTTTATCCCTGCTCTGTGCTGGAAGTAATAGGTATAAAATTCTGTAGTAGAAACTGGCGATAAAAAGAAGAAAAGAGAAACTTCCTGCCCTCAGGGAGCTCACAGTCCGGTGGGAGATTCTAACAAAGAGAAAGATGGTGACAACCCAAGGTGACTTCTGATTTATTAGAAATCACAGGGTGAGAGGGCTTTGTTTAGGAGAGGAGCTGCTGGAGGGTGTCCCAGAGATGAGGGGGAGGAGTTTGCTAAAAGAAGCAGCCGGGGAGCAAGGTGGAGGATTAGGGTAGGAGTGGAGGAATTCCAGGCAGGAATCATTCACAAAGATACAAAAGTGAGAGACAGCACGCCCGCCTGGGAGCAGGTCATCTGGGCTGTAACTGATGCCTTTGTCTCCACCTTCCCCAGTTTCAGCCACTGGAAAGCTGTATTGCTGTAGGACAGTTCCAAGTACAAGAGTGTGTCATTTACCCCAAAGATACCGTATATAGTAAAGAGCTCAAAAGATGGCGGCTTTTGTTATTATTCTCATCACCATGACTATGAGTGTCTTAGAACTGCGCTTTCTGCCTGGTGTTTGTCATGACTTTCGGGAGCAGCACATCCGGGATGCATCGCATGCACTCCGCGTGAGTCAGGTGTGGGAGCATCTTATGTCCCACTGCTTCCCGTGAATCGCACCTGCCGAACGCTGATTCTCTCAGTGTCCTTCAGATTTGCAGGAGCCACGAGTTCTCCTGTGCTCGGTTTATAGCAATAAGCTTTCCACCTCTTTGTATCTTGAGGCCCTGTTAAAAATAGCAAAATAAAGATCTTTCTCTTTTTTGTGTGGTGAGTTAGAAATACCCCAGAGCCAGGGGAGGCTCTGCAGGAGAGGAGAGCAAGCTGGGAAGAATCCATGTGACCCAGAGGCCTAATGGGCCTTCAAACAGGTGAAAGGACCTTGGTGGGATTAAGAAGAATGCTATGTACCGTGGTGTTTATATTCCTATAAGCACTTTTAAATACATTACCAGAGTGGAGCGTTTACTTAGTGAGCTGTGGCCATATTTACTATCTATTTTACACACGAGAGAGCCTGAGAAGGCAGAGGTAGGGGGATGTCATTTCCCCAAGGAGCAGCTGTTCCAGGCCTGGAACCCCACATTCCTTCTCTTGCTGTGAATCTCAAACTTGTGCAAGTCTGGGTTGGACTGGAACCAGCACTCCTGGGTTTGGCCCCGCTCTGCCACCACTAATGAGTCCAGGAACTTGGACAAGTTGCCAAACGTCTCTAAACTTGTGTTTTCTTGTCTGCAGCATGGAGAGAGGAGGACTGAGGCCCTCCCAGCTGTGCAGCCCGTGGTTCCTAGAAACAGAAGCGGGTAGGGCCGTGGGGTGGGTGGGGGGGATGACAGGAGGAACCAGCTGCTGCAGTCACAGAGACTAGCTGTGTGGCAAGGCACAGTCCCTCCCTGACCCTCGCTCTTCACCCCGGTGGCTGGGAAACTGGGCGTGTTTGGCTCTTCAGGTACCTTTGCCAAGGACCACCTGGCGGAAGAGAGCAGGAGGCAGCAGGGCGCATTTCAGGCTGGATTCACTTTTATTTTGTCAGCCACGGTGGGTATGGCTTCCCCGTCCCAGCCGTGGTGGACACAGCGTCCAGTGGGAAGAGTGTTTCTTTGAGGGGTGACTGACTGTGCTTTTAGGTAGTAAACGTCTTCTGGGCACAGCGTCGTGGGAGAGTTCAGTATTGAGGGCAGTGAGGCGTGAAACCTCAGACTTCTGTGGACCTCCCGCTGCCAGTGATGTCAGAGGCTTGCTGTTCAGAGGTCCTGGCTCCGCTTCCAGGGTGCGGGGAGAGGGCGGGAGACCCGGTGAAACCCAGCTCCTGGAAGGGTGCACGTAGAATCGGGCAGAGAGGGGAAAAGGACGCGTTCAATTCAGCCTTGAAGACAATTATTCACTTGCTTGCCTGGGATTGCTTACATGTCAGGTGACCAGAAAAGAGCCCGCTTTGTGATAAGTTTATTTCAAATGTATCTCCATGATGTCTAGACTGAAGAGCTTTTGCTTTTTGTGGGTTTCCTTGTTTTGATTTTTAATCTTTGTTTGTTTCATGGATTCCTTTTTGTTTTCTGGGCTTCTTTGCTGGATTTATAGGCTTCAGTGTTTGTAGGAAATAAGAGGAGTCTTTTCGTTCAATGACTGACATCGAGGGTATTGGTGGTCTCTGGATGCTTCTACCAAAGCGAGTCAACAGATGTGTTCCAAAAGTTGATACTGTAAGAGAAAGCAAGTTGACGGTGATGGCGAATGCCATTGTGTTGCTCTCTGCATCAACCCCTGTCATTCATTCCTTCATTCCTGTACATGTAACCTCCCACCCCCTTCGCACATTGCACGTCTTACGTTTGTGCAGTTGATTTTTGTGACCCTGATGTCTATTCCTATCTTGTTCAGGGTGGGCTTCTACAGCACGGGGGCGATTCCTAGGCTAGGTGGGTGAAAGAGGAAAAAGATGGAAGGAGGAGCAAAGAGAATCTGATTCTTCATTGTTTATACACAAAAACCGCTACCCTGTGCATAATCCCTCCTTCAAGGCAACAGATTACGAGCTGGCAAAGTGAGAAAGATGGAAATGGTCGTTACAAATCGCCTACAAATTGTAGAATAAAAACTGGCTTTTATTTGAGTTGGCCCTTAGGTTGGAATCTACTTGGCCAGAAGGTCAAAACCCCTTCTCTGGCAAGAGCGATACATCTTGAATGTATTTCGTTATTTTGCCAAGTAGACTAAAGTCCTTCAAATCTTTGACGGGAGTGTGGGAAATCCTACAGAACTTGTTTCTCCTTGGTCTAGAAAACTCTTGGACATGAATTACAGCAGCTTTTAGGTCAGATTATTTAAGCCAGCTTCGAATACCTTTATTAAAACGTATTTGGAGGACAAATAACATGGGCAAAGTCTGATGGCATGATTGTATTTTATATAAGTGTGTGATTTGACCAGGGTTTGGGAAAGTTATAAAGGATTTTAGGTAAAATCTCATAATTCTCAAGGTAGAGATGGCAACCAACACCATGGTAGGGGGCTGACAGAGATCCTTGGACAGAATTATCGTGTGTTGCATTCTTGTGATATGCTCATGTTCTTCTTGAACACATGCCTATCACTCAGATTTAGAAATATGAATAATAGTTATCCACATTTTTCTTCATTGTGGCTGGTTGGGTAGTGGGATATAATCTTGTCTTTAAGTTGGCTACATTTCTGGACTTGGAACTTTGGGGTAAAGGCTAACACCCACCTCCCACTCAAGAAAATAAGCCCTGTATCTTGGTTCATTAAAAAGATGGTTAGAACTTAGAAAGAGGACCACCTCTGTTTGCCAAGTTGGAGTTTCAAGTTGAGGCAGGATGGAGTTAGGCTGAGATTCTGGCATGTGGAGTCTCCCAGATGGAGAAGGTGAAGTCCAAGAGTTGATATCCACTCTTCTCAATTAAGCACCCAGTACACCATTTGCCTCTTCCTGAAGTCATTGAATCACAGATTGTTTGAGCTGATAGAGAATTTTGAGGTGCTCTGTCAGTCTCTTCTCTCTCTCGTTTTACCATAAGGGATCCAAGGCTCAGAGAAATCGTTGGCCCTGAATACTTAGTCAGCTATTAAATAGATGTGCCCTTTTGAAAATTCTTGGAAAATTTTAGAATTTTTTTCTTTTCATCTTGATTCTAGATACACTTTTCTATTTTATCTTACCTTTTTAATTTTCTCTGATACTAGGTATGTCTTCTGCTCAGGAAGTAATGCCCAGAGATGTCTTAGAGATGGCATCCATGAGATTAGAGCTATGACTCCTCTGGGTCCTGGATGGCCTCTGTTCAGTACAGGTGATCACAGAGTCGCTTGAGGGCCTTAGAGGTCTTTCTCCCCAACCTCCTACATGACGCGTGCTTCCATCCGCAGTGTCCTGCATGGGCTGAGTCCTTGAATCCTCATTCACAGTGTGCTTCCTCTTTGACCAAAGCGGCCAATCCCCTTACTAAACAGGTTTCATATCATGTCATATTCTCTCAATAACTTCTACCATATTGTTAAAAGAAACATACAAATAAGTAACACACATGCACTTTGGGAAGCTGTTCGGTAGGAGGTGGAATTTTAAAATGGCTTCTCCGGTGCCTGGACCACCAGGGCTTCACCTGGAGTGTGACAGTGTTTCTGGAAATACGAGCAGGACCCCTCCAGTGCTGTATAACTTTATGTTCCACAACTTGAACTCCATGCTGTCTGAAACCTCCCTCAGTATATCCTGGGTCCCTCTTTGACTCTGAAAGATTTCCTTAACACTTGGTAGGCACTAGAGAATGCTTCCTCCCCCTTCCCCTTCATTTTAAATTGATGTTGAGCTTAAGCGTTCCTTCCTCATTTAATCAAGGAGCTGGATTCTGTTTCCTAATAACGTGTTCAGGGTAGGATGGTGATGTTGGTGAAGCCGAAGAGCTGATTGGTAGGATGCTGGGGAAAAACTGACTGGTTCCTGGTTCCTTTATGAGACAGCCTGAAAATTTCTCATAAGCAGAGGTGAGCCAGTCCCTGGAAATGCTGGGTGGTGTGTGAACACATTCACCCCTCTGCTCCAGGGGCCTGCTCTCTCAGAGGCCCTGAAGTGTGCCTTGCACATTCCCACCTCACCTGGGAGCCTTATTCCAAATGCTGAATAAGGGGACCGGAGTTCGAGTTCTGACTGTTAATTATTAGCTGTTGAGCTTGGGTAAATCCCTTAATCTCCTGGAGGTTAATAATAATTACCCCAGAGAGCTATTAAATGCGTCAAATGAAGTAATAGGTGTGGGAATGCTTTGTAGACGCTACCAGGTCAGAGGAAGGCGAGCTGTTATAATTAACAGTCTTTTCTCTAAGATTTCCGCGGTTCCTTCAGTTCTCACAATTTTGCCTGCTCTGCACTCACTGCCCTTCGGCCCTTTCACATGCCCGTCTGGGATGCTGGTTATCCCTCCCCTGGCTAGAGCTGCTCTCCAGCAAGTCTGCAGTTTCAATATTTTGAATTAATTTTTTACTATTTAAAAAAATATAGAATATCCTTTGATAAAATGAAAGGATATGCATAGCATGTATAGATTTTAAAGCGTAAGACTGTGTTTTATTCAGCGTTTATTGAGCACTTATGAAATGCCTGACATTGTGCCAGGTCCCAGGATATCCAGACAAATAAGACATCCCTGCCGTGGGATAGCGCCCCCTCTGGGGTTGGGGGCAGAGGGCAGGGTTCCTATTGATGATCACGCAAAGCAGGAGAGAGCTTTTCTACTTACGGTGAGATGCAGGCTACATCCTGAAAGTGTCCTTCTTCTAGATTGTTGAGTCACTCACTGTTTTCAGTCTTCTTTTGTTTGTGTACTCATTTCTCAGTTCCCTCGCCCTTTTTTCTAAAATGTAAGCTCAATGAGTCTTGAAACTATACCTTCTATAAAAACGTTTTGAGCACCGGCTGTGGTGCTAGGTGCCCGATAGAATATCAGCCCTGGAGGGTGGGGATCGTGTCTCTCTTGTTTGATGATACATCCCTAGGACAGAATCTGGCATATAAAGGCCCTTAGTAAATGTCTGTCCAATGAGCTGTCACCTTGTATTAGTTAATACTAGATGTCATCACTGATAATCCTCGAAAACTCAGTGCCTTAATACAATAAAAGTGTATTTCTTGCTCATGTAAAGACCCATCTGTGGTAGACTGGGAGATGCTCCACTCGGTCATTCAGGGACCCAGGCTGAGGGAGGTTCTGCCATCCTCAACCGGTGGCTTCTACCGTTCCGTAATTTACTGTCAATCTCCAGCCAGCAGACGGAGAGAGGGAGAATGTGGAGGGTTATGAGGGGGGCACTTTTGGCCAGAACTCACTTTGTTCCCTGACCACATTTAGACGACTGGGGTGGGGTTGCAGTGAGACACGTGGATCCTTGCTGGCCGCTTCCTAGCGATAACTGCATCTTGAAAGGGATGCGCAATCTTTGGACGGCTGGTCTTCTCTGCCTTATAGACCAGGTACCAATTGTTTTCTCTTTACAGGTGTTTCTCCCATAACCGGTGAACTCCTTGGGAGCAAAGGCTAGATCTTATTCAATTCTTTATCCTAGTTCCCAGAGTACTATAACAGTTCCATAAATGCTTTCTGAAATGAAATAACTAGTTTTTCTGTTGGGTACCTGGCACCATAATAGATGCTTAAAATTTTTTGTTGGAAGAATAAAGGAAGAAGAAACCATTTGCTAGAATAAAGATGTGCCAAATATGGGACCTGGTGCTAATATGGTATGTATCCAATAAGCAAGCAATCATTGAAAAAAGAAAGAGAGAGAAAAAAAGAAGGAGAAAAGACGAAGAGAAGACAAAGAAAGGGAGAGAGGAGAAGAAAAGAAGGAAGGAGGAGAAACAAACAAAAGGAGAGACAATGAAGGAGATAGAAGAAAGGAGGGGTGAAAGGGGAGGGAAGAGGAGCGGGGAAGGAGAGGGAGAGAAGGAGGAACGGAGAGAGAAAGAGGCTGGAGAGAGTGGGTGAAAGAGGGAGACAGAAACAGTGGGCGAGGGAGAGAAGGGAAGGGGAGGAGGGAGAGAGAGAAAGAGAGCACAGGAGGTTCCTGAGAGGTGACTTGTGTGACCTCACCCTCACTGAAGAGAAGGGTTCCCCTGCTCGGAGGTCAGGAAAGGCTTCTCAGAACCACCTTGCTCTTTGACGTCAGCCCTTCCTGGTCCTTCTGCCTAACCTCTGTGACTTTATGATCTGCCCACCCAATACGGCACAGAAATGTCTCCCTGTCCTCTGACGGGGAAACGAAGTTAATAAATCTCCCAGAAAGTGTGTGCTTCTCTATGGAAACAGTAGATAAAGTACCCCTGCCACCCATGGAGAAGTGCCAGAGGGGGCAGAGCACCAGGTCACACGCGACCTGCTCCTGGCAGTGTGCTTCTGCTCGGGTCAGGTGGTTCCGCGCAGATCTGGGGTGTAGACCTTATGGCCTCAGAGGGCTGTGGATACTGTGTTTATTTCCCCTCCCTAATGAGTCTCTTTGCTTCTGGCTCATTGAGTTCTCCACAAGATCCACAGTGAGAAGCTTTTTGGTGAAGTGATGGATGGCACTGCACACACAGGCCTGGCTGTGCCACTCAGTTGCTGCCGGAGCCCCACCACCAGCCCGACCTTCGGCTGCAGCCTGGCCGTGCGCACGCACGCATGCACACACACAAACACACACACGTACACACACACATACACGCTGCAGCCTTTGCCTTCTGTTTCCTGTTGTGCCTTAAACATGTCCCCGCTTCGTGCCTCCTTTTTGCACACTGTGGAGGGCAGTGCGTTTCAGCAAGCGCTCTCACACATTAGCTCTGTACTGGGGATGCTGATGTGCCTGTTTCATACACGAGAAGCGAGGCCGGGAAGGGACCGTGTCTTGTGCTTGATGCTGGTGTCGCGCCACGGTGTCAGAGCCTGAATCCAGGCCTCCTGTCAGCAGTGCTCCAGCTGCTGTGGAAGATGCGGCCATGAATTCTAATGGCATCCCGTGGATATTGGGTGCGTGGGTCCCCGGCACCGAGCTGCATCTGGATGACCGGAGTCTGTCGGTGGAGCTGCACCAAGAGGAGGAGAGGCAATGGTTTTCATTCTCTGTACAGACACCTCCTTGTGCTTGCTTGGGTTTTACAGAGTTCTTCCAATTTCTCCGTAGGATTGGCCAAAGCGGTTTCGACATTGCTGTAAAATTGCTAAAACCATAAACTGTTACTCTCGGTTTTCATATCAGACCAGATGAAGGGGTGGAGCAGCTCCTCGACGTTAGAGGAGGGAAAATCACTTAAATAGCAGGCCGGACGCCATATGGCAGGTTCTTTTCCTTTAGAGAGTGTGTCACTTCTGCCCTCTAGATTCCAGTAACCGTCTGTCACCACAAAATCCGGGGCTGGAAGAAGTGTCGAGGGATTTAGGATGTCGTGAGGCTGGCGTTGCTGAAGTTAACCCCGTAAGACAGGTCTGTTTACTCCTCCTTCCAAATTCTGTGCTCACCACCGAGTCTGAGTTGCTTTGACGAGAGGTATTCCAAGAGGCCCTTCTGCCATCATGGAGAGGAGGTGTCACTGTGTGGACTTCCTTTTCCCTGGCCCACCTTCTGGTAACTGTGCATCAGAGGGCGACGCTGAGGGCGGGGAGAGCCTCAGGCATTTTAGAGAACGGGCAGGGCTGCCCCTATCCCATGGACTGGGAAACTGAGGCCAGCATTATTAACACTAATGAGATTGTTGTTTTCCTATGGTAGAAGTTATATAGAGAAGAAGACAAAAACAATCTGTAATCTCACGTCTACGAGTAAGCCGCTATTCATATTTTTAGCTTCCACCAGTCTGTTTTCTATTCATACGTATCATACATCCTGTCTGTTGCCTGTTGGTTGTCATACTTTGGCGGCTGTGTGTTGCTGCGATGCTGAAAGCTATGCCACTGGGATTTCACATTCCACAGGGTCCCCCATGGTGGACAGGTTTCAGCAGAGCTACCAGACTGGATGGACTGGGAGGAAGGACCTGGCCACCCACTTCTGGAAAGTTGGCCTTGAAAGCCCTGTGAACAGCAGCGGAGCGCTGTCTGAAGGTGAGAGGATGGCGCAGAAAGACCAGGCAGGAATTCACTCCACGGCTCTAACAACAATTACTATATATTAAGTTTACGTCTTACTGTCTGTTTTGAAATGTAGTTTTTTAAAATTTAAGTATCTCATGAATATTTCCTCATAGTGTCATTTCTTCATCATTCATGGAACAAATAATGGTAACAGCTAACACTTCACGTGGCTCCTGCTGCGGGCCAGGCACTCTTCTATACACATTGCATACTCTTCATCCTTAAAACAACCTGATGAAGTAGTGTTGTTATGACCCCACTTTACAAACGAGAACACTGAGGCACAGAGGGGCTGCACAGTCTGCAGGTCATGCAGTGAGGGAGTGGGGGAGCCAGAGCAGGCTCCCGGGCGGTGTGACCTTCTCTGTCCCCCGGGACCTCGCGGGGCTCCTGGCCTGCAGTAAGTAGCTACCCTGAGTGCGGAATGAGTGTTGGTGTTTACAAGACTGACTTGGGGAATGAGAGGGGGTCCTGCTGGTTTGGGGCGTGGCTGCGACTCATCCTTGTCATGTGGATTATTCACCCTCTGCTCTGTGCCGCTGGGGACTCTGACCCGGCAGCTGATCGCCTACAGAATGTCTTTACGTTTGGCCTTGGGTGTTGCTGGCTGCTCCCCTGCATCCCCAGTTTACACTCCTTGACTAAGTCGGTACTGTGTCGGCCGCTGTAACAGAGGATGCTTCGGGGTCTGGAGTGCTCCTGCATGGTTTTGGGATTTCTAGCCAGATGGACTCAGTAAAAATTAATTCCACTTTTCAGATTCTAAGAATGTCTTTAACTATTTTAGCGAGAAGAATTCACCTTAAATCAATGAACAGAGTCTGATTCTAAATGAATTTTTGAATTCCAAAAAAGCCCCAAAATACTATCCTGATTTTCAAGTAAAAGCTCTTTTTATGAATTTTTTTTTCTAAAGGGCACAAAATTAAGCTTCTTAAGTATGTATTTTGTTTCTCTGAGGTCCAGTATAACCCATGCTCTAAGGATCATGCACGTCTCTCCGTCCTTTTATTAATGAGGAGCACTCCCGTGAGGTGGAGGTTGTGGTACACAGTGCAAGTAATGGACCCAACGCCCTGCCCTCAGGAAGCTAACGAGCTAGTGAGGAAGACAGAGAAATGAGAGAGAATGGCATTACGATGCTCTAAGCCCCCAGTAAAGTGGAGGAGGAAGGTGCGCGGAAAATGGGAGTAAGGAGAGATGCCTCATGGCGTGTTACTGAGCAGCCAAACCTTGGGAGAGCCAAGTCGTGCTTTCGAGGGCAGGTCTCCAAGGCTTTTCCGAATAGCTTCAGTCTCAGTCCACAGGTGTAGGAGAAGAGCTTATCCTCAGCTCCAAAAGATTCTTTGTCTATTACCTCGTTAAAAGGACAAGAAGGAAGAATTGTCCTCTGCCAAGTTTTAAACGTAATTCAGAGAGTTTCCTGTGAAGTGATGGGATCAACAGTAACCGGGGAAACTGCCCAATCCCAGTTTCATCAGACCTGAGTATGCACTAATAGCGACTCTGTTTTTTGTAGATAGGAGGGCGGCATCTGCGCAGGGCTGGACGCGTCACAGGAGCTTATCGGTTACCTGTAAGTGGCGCTTGTGGTTGAAAGAACCCTGAGCTCAGAGTTAAGAGGTGTGGATCCTAAATCTGTCACTGGCCTCAGCTGGGTCAGAATCGCATTCAGCTCTGTGTTACAGAGACCCGAAAAGTGTTGACTTAAAAAGTTATGGAGAAACACATTACTTAATTTTCTCATGTCAAGAACAGGTGAGCTCCCCAATGTCTTCTGGGGCCCAGACTCCTTTTCTCTTTCCCTCAGTCATCCTCAGGGTGTGCTTGTCATCTTGTGGTCACAGGTGGCTGGTCCACCTTCTGCCTGACGTCCATGTTCTTGACAGGGAGAAGGGAGGACGGCAAAGGGCCGGCCCCACTGAGTCAGCCCCGTTGAAGACCTTGTTCAGAACCCCTCCCCCAGTTACTTCCAAGTTCATCTCATGGGCTGAACTGTGTCCCATGACCGCCCCCGCTGCAAGGGCGGCTCGGTTTTAGGAGATTTTCAGCCTAGCACGATGCTGTCTCCAGTAGGTTTCCGTGGCGAAGGGAAAGAGGGAGATTGGCTGTTGGGTAGACATCTGACAATCTCTGTCGTATCCTCTCTAAATGGACTAAATCGGTGGTTAGCTAATGTTTTTTATAATGCACCCTCCTCCCCTTTTCTTCATTAAATCTTCATAGGTCCAGTTACCAGATGGAGGAAAAAGTGTATTTTCTTTGATAGAAGTCGGAGTTGGGGTGCCAGGGTGATTTTCCCTTCCTGTCTCCCTCTTGATGATGTCATTCATCTGAATTGTAATCAGGTTCATTTGTTTAGTTTGTATTCCATTTTAGGTTGATTTTTACCCATCCTTATTGATTTTATTTACCTACCTATGTGTTTGTTTATGTGTGAAAGAATATATTTTTTAAAATTTTTATTGAGTTTATGATAGTTTCACCTTGTGAAATTTCAGCTGTACATTATTTTTGTTTGTCAGTCATGTTGTAGGTGCACCATTTCACCCTTTTGCCCACCCCCATCCTCCCTTTCCCCTGGTAGCCACTAATCTGTTCTCTTTGTCTACATGTTTAACTTCCACATATGAGTGGAGTCATACAGAGATTGTCTTTCTCTATCTGGCTTATTTCACTTAACATAATTCCCTCAAGGTCCATCCATGTTGTTGTTAATGGGACGATTTTATTCTTTTTCATGACTGAGTAGTATTCCATTGTGTGTGTGTGTGTGTGTGTGTGTGTGTGTATACCACATCTTCTTTATCCAATCATCAGTTGATGGGCACTTGGGTTGCTTCCACGTCTCGGCTATTGTAAATAATACTGCAATGAACATAGGGTTGCGTGGGACTTTTGGAATTGCTAAGTTCAAGTTCTTTGGATTGAAACAATAAGTTTTTAAAAGTCAGAGCTATACAGAAAGGAATTCTCAAAGATGTGTCCCTGCTCACCATCCTCTGCCCCACCCCACCCCCCGTCAGCCCCCCTTCATCCATACTCACCCCACTCCAGAGGCAGTCAGTCTTACTGGTTCCTGCTGTAACCTTCTGATGCTCCTTTTGGCACTGCTGTGCCGACACCTGTGTATTTTCTCATTTCCCCTCCTTAGAAATGGTAGTGCACCGTAGTTCTCTTTTACACTTGAGGGTCTGTGTAGATAGTTAAAGAAATAATGGTGAGGCTAGGGAGAATGACAAACGTGCAGTAAGAGAGGAAGCAACCAGACAGTGCAGGAGAGACCACCTCTGCTTGGGAACGGTCTCGTGAAGGAGCTGCCTCTGAGCAGGCTCTTAAGCCTGGGCGATCTGGCAGAGAAGGGAGGGGTGTCCTAGACCTTGGCGGAGGACAGGGGGGGCCAGCCACTGGGCTAGTCGAGTAGTGGAGAAGGGGGCTAGGTTGGGGCGTCTGTTCAGGGGAGCCCCGCGTGGAGGGCACAAACGTCAGCTGGGAGTGGGCATCTCTGGGGAGGAGTGTGATGGGTTTGTGATTCACGGGGAGCAAATCTGCGTGTTGTGTGCTTTTCTTGGTTTACGGGGCTCATCGAGAGTTTAGCAGTTCATTTTAAACGGACGCTGGGCCCACCTGCTCTAGAGAAGGACACTGCGGCCTGGAGGAACAGGGAACGCACCCAAAGTCTCAGAGCCAGGAGGTGGCGGAGTTGGAAATCGCCATGCTCTGGACTCACAATCCCATGCTCTTTTCCTCAGGATCTGAGATTTCCAGAGAACACTAGGCATGTGGTTCTCAGACCTGCCAGTTGTTTCCTTTGCCACCCCGTGTTTGCACCTTTCAGTTCATTGAATCCCAAATCCCAAAATTCAGCCAGACTAACAGCAGCTTTAAACAGCTTGGTGTGGGCTGAATTGTGTTCCCTTCAAAATTCGTATGTTGAAGTCCTCACCCCCAGTACCTCAAAATATAAGCGTATTTGGAGACTGGGCCTTTAAAGAAGAAATTAAGTTAAAAGAAAGTCATTAGGGAGAGCCCTCATCTAATGTGACTGGCGTCCTTATGAGAAGAGGAGATTAAGCCAGGCGGGCCCAGGGTGGAGACGGCCACCTGCAAGCCAAGGAGAGAGGCCTTGGAAGAAGCCAACCCTGCCGAAGCCTTCATCTAGGCCTTCTGGCCTCCAGAAGGGTGAGAAAATAGGTTTCTGTTGTCTACACCCCGCAGTCTGTGGTACTTTGTTGTGGCAGCCCGAGGCACTAAGACACAGCCCTAGCCTGCTCCCCGGGGCTGCCCCAGGGGGCTCCTACCCAGCCTGGCGTCTTGGCTCCTGGTTGTAGCTCCTCAGCCTCCCTGTGGCTAAGAGCCCTCGCTGGGCCCCGTCTTAGGGCAGCCCCTCAGCCACCTTGCCAAACGAACAGCGGAGGTGAGTCTGCCGGCGTGCAGAGGAGCAGGGAGGCGAGAGGGCGGTCAGGAGCCTGACGGAGCCACGCGCGGCCCGCAAATCCTTCACGGCCTGGGCCCCGCGGGGGCCGTTGAGCTGGGTATCTTTACAGCCGTTTCCAACTGCTAGATTCTATAAGTAATAGGGAAAGTGTTTGTTGGTTTTAAAGGCATACTCAGGGATTTAAAGGTATTTTAAAAACTATATATGTTTTAATTAAAAACTTTTCTTCAAATGCTCTGCCTCACGACAGTCTTTAACGCACCAGGATGTTAAGATTTTAAAATTAGGTGGTGGGATTATGAGTTGTTTTAATATTCTTCTTTATGCCTTTCTACATTTTCAAAGTTTTCTTTAATAAATGTGTGTGACTTTTATGGCCAAGGTTGGGGAAGTTTGGATCATAAAGGTGAAAAAATTCCAATCTTGTGTTAGAGCTAAACAATGGTAAATGACGGGTGAATACAAACCCTTCTTCACTTCAAGGGGTTCCAAAGGAAGACCGCACGTTTTTGAATGAACAAGTAATGAGAATAGTGGACGGGAAGGGAGTATAAAGCTCTTGAAGTCATGAACAGTTAATATTTTTAAAAGTTCCTCCGTAGGTGGAAAAAAATAATAATCTTCCTAACACCATGGTAATGAACAAAGTGTATGCAAGTTTATGTTAATTGATATATAGTGTATAAAAGTGGATGTAGATTTAAAAATAAAATGGGAAAATGCTAGTCAAGTTGAGGATGGAAAAAGCTGTCAAACATGTCTATTTACGGTTTGTCTTTTTGGGTCATGGCAAAGCATTTGTGGTGATGGACTCCCACCATCGTGGAAAAGCTCATTCTGTTGACATTCTGGCTTGGCCTCAGTTGTGCTTGGGAAGAAGAGGCTGAAGACGAGAGTGTAATTTAACATTAGAAAAAAGGAACTGGATTCAGACACTACAGACATAGTCAAATAGTCTCATAAAGAAAATGAGAAAATTTCACCATGACTTACAGCCTGTTCTTCAAGTAGTAAAGCTGTTGTTATTTAAGTCACTAATAATCAAAATAAAACAAGGCACTTGAGATTACTGGGACTATGTAGATGAGAGAATGTTATGATTATTACTGATTACTGGCCAAATGTAATCAAACCTTCCCATTTAGAGCGCCCTTCGATAATCTGGATTCTTTTTTTTTTTTAAAGATTGGCCCTGAGCTAACATCTGTTGCCGATCTTGTTTTTTTCTTTCTCCCAAGACCCCCTCAGTACATAGTTGTATATTCTAGTTGTGGGTCCTTCTAGTTGTGGCATGTGGGACGCCGCCTCAGCGTGGCCTGATGAGCGGTGCTAGGTCTGTGCCCAGGATCTGAACTGGCGAAACCGTGGGCCGCTGAAGTGGAGCGCCCGAACTTAACCACTTGGCCACGGATTGGCCCCAATAATCTGAATTCTAACTGTCATTTCCGCTGGACCTTATCCAAGCACAGGGAAAATACAACGCCTTTATAACAAGGGAAGAGCAGATCTTGGGGAATGGGATTGCTTTGAGGCCCTTTTCTAGGTCACCAACCAAAACAGACTGGTGATGAAATTCCATCCCTCTCTGTGCACATTTCAGAGTGAACTCCTCGTTGGTACACACAGGGATACAGGTCCTGGTGACCTGAGACGTGCTCTCTGATATTGATTACAGGAGTGGTCACTCCTCCTGTGTCCTCTTTGATAGAAAGCTCAGATTGTGTTGGAAACATATGGTCTCACCTCAGGAGCTCATGTGCTGTCAGGGTGTGTGTGTGTGTGTGTTTGTAAGAGGCATTTTCTGTGTGTCTTGAGTGACCTTTCCCAGAATCTCACCCAGTTGTGGATATTCAGGCCTGTTCCGTGGATTTCTCTTAAATGCAAATCCAGCTGTGTCGGTTCCCTTGACCCCTCCGGTGCCTGCTCAAGGTCAGCTCTGTAGTCGGTGTCCAGAGGGTCGTTACCCAGATGCACCTGGGGGGGCTTAACCCCCGTACCCCACCCTCTCTGTCAGAGTCACGGGGGAGATTCAGATGTGCAAGGGGCCCAGTTAGCGAACTCACTTCCCTCTCCTGAGGTAACTCGATCTTGTCAAACAATGCTTTCTACAGAACATATGTGCTTTAGTTTTATTTTAAGGTTCTGAAAGAACATTCTTGATTTTGCTCACCAGTGAGGCGTGTGCACAAAGAAGAAAACCCTCTTTCGGTTATACACGAAACTTTATTATTTTTTTGTCGAAAGAATTATTATTTTTTTGGTCAGAAGAAAAGCCACAAATTTTCCCAAGTCAAAACAGAAGCGAATAGTGCAATGTCACTTTATCCAGAGCCAAAGGCCAGGGAGAAAAGCTGTGAAAATTGAATTCAGAGGAGCCCAGGAGGAAACCAAAATGACTCCCCCAGAAATGAGGATGCGGCTATCGTTCCTTGGCTGGATTTTGGGAGGAGAAGAGACAATAAGAATTATTTTAAAAGACAAAACATGAAGCCGCTCAGATGATGAACCTCTTTCTCTGTAACACTCACCCTGGACGCTCTAGGTCTCATTTATGCTGGGAACGAGGTAATGTCTCCTAGGCGTGGGGTGGTCTAGGTGGACGGTGGGGGTTACCTCTCCTGGGACCATGGTGGGTGGCAGCACGCTGGGCAGGAACTTGAGGACGCCCCTGGAGGTGAGTCTAACAGGTGAAGAATATGGGCTTTGGCGGCCTACTCTTGGCTCTGTTGTGCAACCTCAGGCAAGTGGCTTCAGCTTTCTGAGTCTGCTTGCCTCTCCGACACGGGCGCCATTGATGCTCACCTCACAGAGTTGTTTTCAAAATGAAATGGAACCACTGTGTCAAGTGTCTAGTGCATGCCAGGCGTGTCACGGACACTCAAGTTGTGCTTGTTATTTTGTGATTGCAAAAGACAGCTCTTCCACAGACCTGCGACCTTGGCTGAGTCATGCTGTGTAGCTGACTGAGCGTTGCTTTTTTATCTGTAAAATGTGAGATTAAGCTGCGATCCCTTTGGTTATAAAATTAAGTGAGTTTTTGAAGCCCCTGTTAAAACCTTGGAAACTCTGCACCTGGCAGTGGGCAGGTTTGCCCGAGTTCAGGTTCAGTTCTTGCCAGGAGGTTCCAGAGCTTGTCTGTGGTCTCAGGCAGCTGTCTTCATCCCGGCCCCACGGCAAGAGGAAGAACTCTGTCCTTATTGCTCTTCAGGCTCATTATGAATCTAAAAATCCTCCCGTATCCAAAATCTATGTTCTCCTGAGTCACAAACCCTTCATAACTTTAAGGTAATATCTAGTGCATTGTGAGTGCGTTGTCGCTTCTGGACTATTTTGATTTATATTATGAAACTGGCTCCTGAGAATGACTCTGTGGGGCAGGTCCATTATCACCCCCAATTGACAGATGAGGAAGCTGAGGTCAGGATTTGCCAAGATCAAATAGCCAAGAATTGGCAGGTGGTGCAGCTCATACTTAGGTCTTTCACTGCAAAAAGCACATGTTTCTCTCACTGAACCAGGCTCTCTTATGAAGTGCTGGAGCCTTTTGTTTCTAAATGAAGAGGCGAAGCAAAGAAAAGGATGAGGTCACCCTTGGAAATAGGACAGAAATGCTGATTCCTCCATGACTCATGAGCTCGGGCCTGTGATTCCCAGCATCTTTTTATATGAGGACTTAGTCTTTTTTTTGTAAGAGAAGTTTATTATTTTATTATGTAGGTAAAATACAGACGAGCAAAAAAGAGGATAATAAAAAGTATTCCAACTCCAGGGAATGTTGCCTTCATACTGTTAACATTGGGACGTAAAACTCTCCCAAATTTTTTCTTAGTGGTATGTTGGTGGGTATATGAATATGTATTGAACAAAGTCTCCTTAATTTGCACATACTGTTAAGAACCCATCTTTAGTAACAGAAAACGATAGAGGTTGCCCACGGATAGTTGTGTGGCGCCCAGATTATGCACCTCCTCAGAATGGCTCACAACTTGCTTCCCAGGCCCGAGGCTGCTTGCTCGGTGGAGAGCTGGCTGTCCTTACCACCGCCTCGTTCCCCTGGACAAGCCTGCAGCCCAGCATCCGTGGCTCCCGCTGGGCAGAGCCCAGCAGTGTGGGCACCTAGGCCTGACTCCATCCGTACCTGGAAGGCAGTGCTCCCACCCTGCCGGGGCTCCGGTGAAGCTCTGTGCGGGGGGTGGGCACCGGCCTCCAGGCGCTCTCCGTGGGGCTGGCTCATACAACCCAGATGTGCAGAGGATTCAAGGCCCGTGGGAGGCCCTTGGCCAAGGGGAGGCGGGAGAGAAGGAGGCTGTGCTGAAGCCACGGTGGGTTCTGTACAGCCTTGTGCTGATGACCGACCGGCCAGCAGTTCCTTGTGGCATTGTGACTGCTTGGGACCACTAAGTTGCCTCGATTCTGCTTTGTCTCTGTTCCTAGCTCACCTCTCTTCTTCCCTCCTACTTCCTACCTTGGGGTTGCACCCTCCTCCTCCCATAAAGCTTTAATATACTTTTTCCTCAGGCGCTTGTCTGTTAACCTAGGAAACGGAGCTGAGCGGATGCTCATTACATTTATAGCATCTCTCTGTTCAGTAAGTACTTGTGAAAAAAATACTAGAAATACAGTCGCTTTTAGTAAATGTGGATTTTATTAATGACAACAGCATCTGTATGCATTTGGAAAAAAGTGGTATATGGAAGTTGTCTTCAGATGCCATTTCGTGATGGGTGGGTTCAAGGGCCCCTGGAAGCCACCCCATGCCTCTCCCTTCCGCCTTGTCCCCAGGAAGGTCTGGGAGCCATGGCTGGGACGTTTGGCTGAGATACAGTCGTCACAGCTGTGTTGCCCTCCACTTGACCTTCTTGCTGCAGTTAAAGACCCTCAGAAAGAAGCCTCCTTCCGTGCGGCCTCTTCCTCCTGCTGCCTTTCAAGTGTGTGAAGCCTCGTGGCCTGTGCACATTTTCCCAGAGCGAGGCGCTGTGCACATCTGGGTCGACTTTATTCCAGTTTTCTTTTCTTTTCTTTTTTCTTCAGTCAATCAGTATGAGTAACTGCGACATGAAACCGTGAAGAAAATGGAATAAATATGTTGGAAATGCTAGAAAGTGATCTGTAGTTGTTCATTCTCCTCAGTCTTACTTCCTGGGCTTATTTATAAGCATTCAAAGAGTTTCAACAATCCTTAAGAGTGGTTGGCGTGCCGCAAAAAAAATAGGATCTGTTCTCTAATAGGAAGGAGCTTGTAACGCTGTGTTTCCTGGTCTGAAAGCGTATGGGGGCGCGAGGGGGAGCGAGGGGAAACCAGCCTCAGGGACAGGACCTCGCATGTGCTGACTCACCTTCTCTCCGTAAGGCACTTACTTGGTTACGTCATTCTGTGCTCTTCATCTAGGAAGCGGCGTCCACGGAGCTCCTTGTTGTTTCTCGAGGCCAGGGGTTTGTCTCTCCTGACTTTGTGTTCCCCAGTGTGCTGACATCTCACTGGGACTGCCTAAACTCCTTGAATGACGAGGTGGACGGTGAATTTTTCGGTTGGATTGTTCAAGATCGCGGTGTTTCAAAGAGCAGGTGCTAGAAACTCAGTTTATATAAGAACAATTAGCGTGAACAAGACAGTGCATTTGTTTGCACAAGGTGCTATTTCTATTGTCTGTGTTCACGGAAAGGGCTCCTTGGCTGGCTGAGGCAGAAATGAAGTGAGAGGTCAGTGAAGTCCAGGAAGGTGAAGGAAGGCTTTGTCCCAGGGTCTCCTGGGAGTGCAAGGGGATGAGGAAGAGACCGTGGGCTCAGAATTCTGAGTTCCACTCTTGCCTCTTGAAATCTGGTCTAGCCTTTGGGGTCTGTCACCTCCGTGAAGCTTTTCCTGATCCCTGAACCAGATGACTCTCCTCCTGGGACTTCATAACTCTGTGTCCGGACCTTTCTCCTGGCTCTGCTCTGGATGGCCACCTGTGTTGTTGTCTGACACCTTCCATAGATGACTGAATAGGTCTGGACTCTTTCTGACCTGTCCCTGAGACCCCCAGCGTGCCTAGCACCATGCCCTCCACTCAGGCTGCTGTGTATAGGCTTGTGGAAGCAGACTTAGCCACCCGGAGTTTCAGAATGATGAAGACATTCATCCCAAGCAGGCCTTTTGTCATGTAGTGCGTTGAGTAGTGGCTCCTAAAAGGAAGGGTCCACACCCTGGAGTCTGTGAATGTGTCCTTGTTTAGAAAAAGGACCTTGCCAATAGGAGTT